ATATATATATATATATTTGATTGCCTAAAATGACATAGTACATGATACATAATTTATTTTACCGTATTTATATTCTAAAATTAGACAAGATATTTATCTAAATTAAGTAACCAAAAATACATTCAAAAATTAACCGCTTAACATATTTGTAAATATCATTATTGAAAATTATATTAAGATAGGAAAAAAAGTAACAATATGTGGTTTAACAAAAACTCACTAAGATCGAAGGTCAAATACATAAAATGACTACGAAGATAGGAAGTTATAACCATACCTGCAAGATCCCCAATCGTGAGGTAACTTGGTGACATTGGCGTGAAGCGCCTTTTGAACATCAGGTCTGTTGAGGTATGCATATACATAGTAGTAACTGCAGGGATCAAAATTAAATACCTGCATCATCAATTAATTTCATAAATAATAATGATAAAAAAATATTATATGGAGAAAATATAGTATTAATTATTAAAGCTAAATTGTAAATATATCCACTATTTTGTACGCGGTTGCAATAATAGCCACCATCTTTATGAATTAACAATATTAGCTAACAACTTTCAAAATTTTGAGATTATTACCCAAATCCAACCAAATTCGACAAATAAATTGAAAAATATAATCATTATCTTTTTACACAGTTGTAACAATAACCATAGAATTTGGTCGGGACATGGGTAGTAACACCAAAATTTTAAAATTTGTTGGTTAATATTGTCAATTCGTAGACATGATGGCTAATATTGTCACCGCGTACAAGATGCTGGCAATATTTTGCAATAAAACCAATTATTAATTATGTATATATAGTACATTAAATCCATTACTTACTGAAGCGTTCTTGGGCGTTTTGGTGAGTTTAGAATTGAGGCACTGTGGGGCATAAATGTTATAAATATTAATGTCTTCCATAGGTTCATCAACTTGCTCCTCAACTTTATAACATTCATATGAACTTCTGTAATAATAACAATACTTCAAATATTTATTCCATGTCTCATCAGATATCAAAGCATGAGTTTGAAAATATTGATACATCCCTAGGGTGTCGGTGTCATCGTTGATCACAGCATTCCCAATCTGGATACAATTAAAGTAATAATTCACATCTTATAAGCTATCATAATATCAAGAATATATATGTCCCTAAATAACTCAAGGAAAAAAGGGCCTTTTTTCATGGTTAATTTGATAATTATTATCAAGGAGAGTGAACCCGACTAAGTTGCACAACAAGAACAATATTTAAAGAAATTAATGTCAGTTGGAGGACCAAATTGCAAATGGTAAGGGTGAGTTCGTTTTGAGAATATGAAGGAATATTTCTTAGTTTTAATGTATAAAAAATATGAAATAATTAGTAGATTTATAAAATAATTGTTCCATAGTTATAGCAAAATCATTACTCTAGTGGCATGTGTAAAAGTAATAGGCTTCTTACAATCATCCCTTTCAATTTGATAATAGGTCGTTTTGCCTTTAAGTTGTGATGGAGAATGGTCTGAGCCAACTGGGGCACATAATGCCCAGCATAGCTTTCCCCAGCTATGTAAAAGTCTCTGTTCTTGTATTCAGGAAATCTCTCCAACCACTTCAACAAAAACACATAATTATCGATAGCTGTTTGTCTGTCCCCACTTTCCTCATAATCAGTCGTCGTGTTTGAATATGAAAACCCAACCCCAGCCGGTGTCTCCAAAAACAACACATTTGCAACTGGCGATAGATCAAAATATAAACGAAATAAAGAAATAAAACAGAAAAAAAAGAATATAGAACAAATGTGAACGATGATGGTAAAATCTTTAACATGTTAGCGTACCAAGGTTCCATGCATAAGGGTTTATATAGAGCGATTTCCCGTCACTGTAAACTCGAAATGGACCCAATTCCTCCATTGCTCCGTAACCAAGAGAAGAACAACCGGGTCCTGCAACAAATTGATAATAAGTTAGACAAATTATGGAAATGAAGAAAGAAAGAAAGAAAGAAAGAAAGAAAGAAATAAAGAAAAAGCGCGCATACCTCCATTGAGCCAAAGAAGAAGCGGAAATTTACTCGATTTTTCTGGATCAGCCTCAACAAAGTAATAAAAGAGAGCTCGTCCTGTACTAATATTCACGGGGACATAGCCACTATACTGGCTGAATTCGACTGGCGGTTGCCCGGGCAATTTTTCGATTAGGTCGTTCGTTTTCGACCATTTCTGTGATTGAATTCGTTCTATAGGGAAATCGGCGCTGAAAGGCCTTGTGTCGATGTGTGTATTAGTTTTTGACTTGATTTTGTATAAACGGGAAAGTGCTTCACTTTGCCTTTTCAGTCCGTGACTACTTGATGTGAGGCATGCAAAAAGAATCATGAAGAAAACAATATGGAGTCTTATATTTTCCATTTTTAGCTTCCCTTTTTTTTCTTTTTAAATCAAATATTTAAAAGAGAATGAAGAAAGGGATGAGGATTTGATAGCATAGTTTTACAAGGATATATAGGTGGGTACAAGGTGTTCTCATTAGGTGATAAAGTCTACATAAATACTAAAACTTTTGTTTATTATTTTCTAATCTTCCTCTCACTATAGATGATAAATTTGACATTTCTCTGCTACAGTCATATACTTCCATAGAATATTTTATATTTTTCTACACAAAAAGAAACATTTTCTTTGCACACTTGGTCATATTAAAGACAATACACTAATCATGTACCAAAAAAAAAAAAAAANNNAAAAAAAAAAAGACAATACACTAATCTCGACGAGAGGGGCAAATTCATTGATTTTTTGTCAATCAAATTCCGATGTCATTCGGTGGTGATCGTTTTAGTGGGGTGACCCATCATATGATTTTTTCATCCAACTTTTTTCGTATACTGACAAAAGTTTCGATATGTGTCTTGCCCGTAACATGAAAAATGTAAATTTGGTGTACGACAATTTTACATGCCTCTACTGAAGTTGGATCAATTAGTGTACGACAAATGAAAATTTCGCATTTAAAATAGTATGGCTTAAATCCAATTTTAACCAAAAATTTAATGGGATATGAATTAAAATTTTGTTTCAAAGTTTTGTTTCACACGGTTTCTTTTCTTTTTGACTATCCAGATTATATATTACTACAAAAAGTTATGATAAATAAATTATTATTATTCCTGGGAACATAAAAGAAATTGAATGAGTTATTATCTTAGGATTTTAAAAAATAGACATATTTTACAATATATATAGATATAGGGGTGGATCTAATAAGACCACTCTTTAAAATGAGTACGTGAGACACAATCATGACCGTTGATTTTGTCTAGATCAATGACTAATATCAATCAACAAAAATACATATTAATTAAATAAGAAAAATAACTACTATAATTTAAATTATTTTAATAATAAAATTATCATATTAAATTATATACATAATAATTTAGTTCGTTGACCGATTGTTGAATAGTGTGGACCGCCTACCGTTCCATTGACCGAATGTCGGAAGACCTAGCCTCTGTCCGACGGCCTCAAACCGGCAATTTCAGCCTCTATCCGGTTGTAACACCCCGTTGATTTTTAAAGAAAATTTCAGATTTTCAAAATTCACAATTAAATTTTTTGAAATCATTTTTTGATTTAAAACATTTAACGACGTTACTCATCCATTTCACATAAAAGTTGAAGTCGTATCTGCCATGTACTTGGGCCTTACGCGAATAAATTGAAAATCCAAACGACGAACAATAAATAAAATCGAACGAGCATATATAATCATATTACTCAATCAATAATACAAAAGTATGAAATTAATTAAGGCATAGAAAATATTAATAAAAATGTCGATAATCAAATAATCCTGAAAAATCCATAAATCAATCGGGACACTACAATCTAGCCTCCTTAAAAGAATTCCTTCCTCAAAATTATAAAAGAGAAATGAAACATAATACAATCGAATATAAGGGGGAGAACTCAAAACATGAAGTTGCTCAGCCCCATCAGATGCAACTGAAACCACCAACCTTGGTAGCTTCCATAAACTCCCTCATTCGGCATAAGAAACAATCATTTGGTTACTCGACGACTATCCTCTCTTGAAGGGTCGGTCCTATAACCAATTATGTCAACAGACCACTGGGCGTCAAAGTCGACTCTACTGCCTCTATTTGTAGTTGCTCAAACTCCTGAAATAAGACCTCTTGCCTTGTGAACATGCAAGACTACTCGCCATGACTTCTCCGAATAAGGGCGTCGGCGACCACATTAGCTTTCCCGAGATGGTAGCTAATGGTGCAGTCGTAGTTCTTAACAAGTTATAACATATTTAGCTCCTTCTGAGGGAATATGTACTTCAAAGTCTTGTGGTCTGTGAATATTTTGCACTTCCCTCCGTAAAGGTAATGCCTCCAAATCTTCAAGGCGTGGACCACTGTGGCTAACACCAAAACATGTGTGGGATAATTCTTCTCGTGAGGCTTTAGCTGCCTCGATGCATATGCCACCACCTTCCCTTACTGCATCAACACACAGCCTAAACCCATCTTCGAAGCATCATTGTAGATCGTGAATTCCAAAGTAGGGTTGAGGATGGCTAACACTGGTGCAATAGTCAGTCTCCTCTTCAACTCTTAAAAACTGGCCTCGCACTGGGGGCTCACACAAACTTTGATGCCTTCTTTGTCAGGTTGGTTAGTGGTTGGGTCACCTTCAAGAAGCCCTCAATGAAACGTCGGTAGTATCTCGCTAACCCCAAGAAACTACGGATATCAATCACATTCTTTGGTGTCTCCTACTTGCTCACTGTTTCTATCTTTCCCAGACCTACCTCAATGCCTCTATCCGTCACAATGTGACCAAGGAAGGCCACACAATCTAGCCAAAACTCGTACTTCCAAAATTTCACATACAACTTCTCCTGCTGAAGTGTCTCCAACACAATCCTCAGATGTTGCTTGTGTTGTTCCATGTCACGGAAGTATACCAAGATGTCGTCAATGAACCCGATAACAAACTAGTTTAACTACAGATGGAAGACCCGATTCATAAGGTCCATGAACACCGCCGGTGCATTACTCAACCTGAATGACATCACCACAAATTAATAGTTCCTGTACCTTGTCCGGAATGCGGTCTTGGAGATGTAGGAATCGCTTATCTTCAACTGATGGTTGTTAGATCTCAAGTCGATCTTTGAGAGCACGCTGACCTCCCTCAGTTGGTCGAAAAGATCCTCAATATCAGGAAGTGGGTATTTGTTCTTGATGGTTAGGTTGTTCAGCTCTCGAATGAACATACACATCGGCTCATCCTTCTTCTTTTCGAATAGTACCGACGCTCCCCACAGTAAACACTCGGTCGGATGAAACTGAGGTTAAGCAGCTCCAGGATCTGGGATTTGAGCTCTTGCATCTCGTTCAGCATCATGCAGTACGGTGCCTTTGAAATTGGGCCGGCTCCGGGAATTAGGTCAATGGTGAACATGACTTGTCTGTCTGGCGGACCCTCAGGTAGTTGCTCTGGCAATACATCTAAGTACTCCCATACTATAGACACATCCTCAGAAGACTTCTTCGACTTCTCCCCTACGATACTCACCAAGTAGCCTTGACAGCTACGTTTCAACAGACTCTGCATTGCCTTCAAGGAAGAAATGTATCGCGATACGGTCCTCGACTTCACTTCATAGAACGTGATCGGCTGGCTGTCGTCGGGTTGTAGGGTCACCTCTCTCTCTAGGAATCGAATGTCGACTTGATAACGGGTTAATCAATCCATGCCAAATATCACATCGAAGTACTGTGTTGTAAATATTTTTACCGGAGTAGAATCGAAAGATTTGTTCCCCGGGTCGTATCGCAAGGAAGGTTAGCCAGAATATTCTTTACGTTTAATCAAGCAAAACTAAAAGAAATAAATGTCCTAAACATGCTAATTTAGAGATTGGTTGGATTTTTAATTAACAACTACTACGAGAATTCAAATAGAGCAAGTAAAAAGCAAGCAAAGACGAAGAACAAATAGGATTAACGGAGCTAGGGAGTCGGGGATACCCGTTTTGGTTCAAAATGCAATTATCGGGCAAGTGCTTGTTCGGTTAAGTGATTTGAATAACCTATCGTTCAAGTATTCATCCTCAATAACTTTTCTTATCAAGAGAAAATTCATGAACGATACATAAACAATTCATTTAACGCCTAGGCAATACAGTTACGAACAAGCCTAGTTAACACGAGCCTATTTCGACCGACTCCTCCCCTTTCAGTTCTAAGAGTCGATTAAAGTGGAATAGAGGGTGGTTAATCAACTATCCCATTTAAAATTCCTATCATCATGCATGAATTAATCAAATCCAATCAAAACAATTGCAAGTTGAAGTGTCACCCTTCAACAATTCTCAAAACTCAAGAACAATGATCGAAAACCCTAGTAAAAGATTAACTCGCACGAATTGAACAATCTTAAGCCCGACAATCATAATCGAAATCAAAACATCAATCCCCTACCCCTAGCATGAGAATTTAGCTACTCGTTTTCGAACAATCAATGAAAGTAATCACAACCCAAGAATTCATAATTAACGATTAAATTAAAAGAAATTCTTACGATTGATAAATCCCAATGTTGAATCTGATAAACAAGCTTGAATCCCAAAAAGCAAGGATAAAATTGAGTTTAAATCCTTGTTCTACGATGAAAAATATGAAACAAGAATGAAAAACAAGTGAAAATGCTGAAGGGTTGGGTTTCTGTGTTTCTGGCGTGAAAAGAATGAATCTTCTATTTGCTGTCCTATTTATATTGGCATGGTGTCACGACACGAGACAGCTTCACGGGCGTGGAAATGTAGTCCTTCACGGTGCGGCAGAGGTGCACGACGCGGTAGGGACTTCTCTCACAGCGTGGACAGGCGCACGGCGCGATAGAGCTGGTCTGGGTGTGAGCTTCGTGGCGTGGAGCTTCGTCACGACGCGGGGTATGGCAACAGCACGACGCGTCAGTGTACCACGGCGCGGCGTGGCAGTCCTTCACAGTGCGGAGGTCTTCGTGAGCTTGCTTGGGAGGAGTCCATAAAAGGTGCTGCGGCGCGTTGGCTGCTGCGACGCGAGGCGCGCACAATGTACCCTTTGTCCATGTCGTGGCGGTGGCGCGGCGCGAGGTATGGGAAGGCTCGTGGGCAGCTCACACAACTTTGCATTTTGGGATCATATGAGTTCGTCTGAACTTCGAATCGAGTTCCGTTTTCTCCTTTGCTAAGCCAACGAACTCCATTATTTAAATACGCTTGCCCACATGATATTTTCCTGAAATACTATAATCCCGAGACTTCAAACCTGCACACCAACGACGAAGAAAAGCCAAATGACTGGAAAACAATGAAAATACCTAAAGGACTCCAAATAGAAAAAAACATA